TCTTTCTGCTTCTGTCTCTATATAAATCCATACATTATTTATAATAAATATATTACTATGTATTTATTAAAACATATTCTATATATTGATATTAAGGATTGGATTTGAGATGGGACTTTTAAGTTACCGAGGTTCCACTGTGCAGCACAGCATTGGTTTTGAGCCATTTTCTTAAAGAGGAAAATGTAGTGAGGAGCTATCAGGCTATAGAGATCTATAGCACTTCCCCTTCTGACCTCTCCACTTCCGGTGGCTGCCTCAGCAACCTGCTGCCCCATTGGTGTTCTGCACTCTGAAAAGGACTGATTTAGGGAGGCCTTTCGTAGTTGAGATGTCCCAGTGGACTTTAAGGACTGATGTTTGTTGGGGGATGGGGTGGAGTGAAGGCATTGGAAAGACTGAAAACACCCTAAGGAACCCTCGTGGGGAGCCCCTGGTGAGTGCCCTGGGGCACCCCGCCTTTGCCCAGCTCCCTAACAACAGGGTAGGAGCCAGGAGCACAAGCAGCACCTAGTTCATTTCCTCCTCATCTGCTTTTACTCACAGTGTGAGTTTCCTTCAGATCACATATTCGTCCTAGCAGGTGATTTCAGAAATAAATAAAATGTAAGGCAGCATGTATTTAATCTGAAGCTAAGTCAACGTCCAGATAACAGTGTTTGCTTTTAATTCCAATAATACCACGCGGTCAGCCAACTGGACAAAACCGGATGGGGAGCCACGTCTTTCTTTCTAGACACAGATACTTGTAGAGCAAGACTCGGCTTTCTGTTTGAAACTGCAGCTTGAGTGTGTTTGTGTGTGTGTGTGTGTGTGTGTGTGTGTCTGTATGCATGAGGCCGAGGTGACCACAGTCTATCTGTTCTAATTCCCTAATGAGGGGACGCTCCCAGTTAGATTACTGAGCAGAGAACATTTCCTTTTGGCAACTCTAGCTAGGACTTTTGCACTCCTCATTCTCCCCTGCCTTATCTCCCCCCCCGACCCCCCCAACAGTTCACAGGTACACAAACCGTGTCATTCATTGTCATGATAAAGCAAGGGCTGAGCAATTCAGCTTCAAGCTTGTCCTTGGATGTTAAAACTGACAATCTAGCACCTCTATTGCTCCTTATCTCTGAGTCAGCGGCCTTGCCAGCACTCAAGATAAGAAAGTCTGTCACTTGCCAGTTGTGTGTGTGTGTGTGTGTGAGAGAGAGAGAGAGAGAGAGAGAGAGAGAGAGAGAGAGTACTAGTGTGCATTGAACTTGCCAACCAAATCACACACTGACCAGAGACAAAAGAAAAAAAACAATAAAAACAAGGAAAAGTCCCACCCTCAAGCAGCTCTGGCTAGGGAACCTACTTACCACGGAATGGACTGCAGTAGGCACTTTGAAAAATAGTCAGACTTTCTGTTGTAACACAGGGAAGCAGAGGCAGAAAGGAAGGAGCAAGGGCAAGAGAGGGAAAGAGAGGGACAGGGGGCCAAACTTGACCTTGCAACAAACTATCCTTAGAGTAGGAAATACACTCCCACTGTGATGAAGATCCTAAAGTCTCAGAATGCCCTTGGTAGAATGTGTCCTCTGTGTCCATGTCCTGTGGGCCCCAGAATGGTCATCCCCATAGATAGAATGTGTCCTCCGTGTCATGTCCTGTGGGCTTAGCTCCAATGCAGTGCTGTTGACTTTGAAGGCTTCTCTCTGGCTTCTTGGATGGCATTGATGACATTTGGCTGCAGCAGGTTCCTGATGAAAGGATAAATACTGCCTTTCTCTCATCCTCTCCTCTCCCTCCCCTCTTCCTCTCTTGCATGTCTTCCACCATGGAATGGTGCAACAGGAGGGTTCTCTCTAGATGTGAACCCCTGATCTTGCACGTGCTCACCTTACTTGTTGTAAGTTGTCCAGTAGCAGGTGTTTTGTTACAGGAGCATTAAGTGACCTAAGCTTCTCCTTTCCATTTTTTTTATTATATATTTATTTTTAATTTTTAAATTTTTTTCTCCTTCCCATTTTTACAATGGTATTTCTCTCTAATATAATTTGATGCTGCTGCTTTAGTGGTTACCTTTCAAGGATACTTCCCATGCTCCCAGGTGATTAGCATAAAGGATAAATTATCATAAATCATAAATTATCATTATCATAAATGAGTGTTTCTTCCTCTTATGCTCATATTTATTTGGTTAACTCCATGCTTAATTTAATTGTGTAATTATAAACACAAACCAGCCTGGACCTCTGGAGGATCAGGTACTAACTGTCAGGGGCTCACACGTGAAGGAGAGTTTAACAGGGAGGCTTCTAGAGGAGACCTAGGCCACAGTCAGCAAGTATTACAGAGAGGACAGAGGGTGACCGGGACTTATCTAAGGAGCTGACAGATGGGAGCCTGATAAAGCTCTGATTGTATTCCCAACTAGCTGATTAAGAAACTCAGCCCGGTGAATGGGGGGTGGAGCCGGGGGAGCTAAGTAGAGAAGTGTGTTTGGAAAGGATTCCTGATGTACAAATGGACCAGGCTAAGGAGGGGCAGAGTGATTGGGACAGGCATCGAAGGAGCAGAAAGCGAAAGAGGAAAACATTCAGCTTCGCGGTAAATGGGGCAGGTTGTAGGTTATGGGGCGGGGGCGGGGGCGGTGGGTAGAGTGAACTAAAGAGGTTATTGGCGGCCAAATGCAGAGAGAAAAACTGTACACGTCCTCTCAGGATTTCAAATTTTACTTCCCAGACAATGGAACCCACGGGGGTAATCAGACAGTGGGATCCTGGGCACCGGTTTGAGTTTTCTGAAGCTGTCTATGCATTGAGAGGAGAGAACTGGAGTGCCAGACGGTGGGAAGGAGGCGGAAGGAGGTGTCCTCTTGACCCATGGGGTCAGAGTTTGTATGACGTCTGAGGAGATGGAGATGGTACTTACTTTCTAGGTTTGCTTCAACAGAACACGCTGGTCGGTTATACAGACGGTGCTAAGGATGTAGGCTTACTTTTTAGGGTCTAGGGTTTTTACCTGGATGGAGTGAAGCATCCTTCTTTGAGACAGTAAGCACAGGAAGAAAAGGAGTGAGGTTCAGGGATGCTGAAAACATGATTCTGGACACATCACATTTGAATGTGATGGTAAGTGTGTGTGGTGGGGGGGGGGGTGCGCGCGTGCTCACGCCCGCATGTGTGCGTGATTTAGGAGAAAGTTCTAAACTGGAAATCAGGATATCAGAATGAGATGTGGATATAAGCAGAGAAGTGTAAATTTAACTCATGCGGAAAGTGAAACTGAGTGTACCCAAGAAAAGTGAGCCCAAGATCGCCAAACGATGACAGACTTCAATTTTCCCTGACACCTCAGGAGCAAGCCCAGGCACCCATTCCACGTAATGGCACGGGCACGGGTATACTGACATCTCTCTTGTTTTTAAAACCATCAGAGTGGCAAACCTGACTTTCCTTATGCAGATTAGTCAAGCAAGACAAACTTGAAAAATCCATAGCCCGACTGTAGTGACTCTTAATGGAAGCCCGTAATGATAACTATTTACTATCTATCGTTCTAAACCGTTGTAGAGCTACAGGCAGACAGAAAGAAGGGGAGGAGATCTCTTACCTAAACTAGGGTGGGTCAACTTCGAGTCTTTTATTTCTCCATGAATGGCCGTGCTTACACAGGTGAATGCTACAGTGCGAGTCAATGGGCATGGGGTTAAAGTCTCAATTCCACCAGCTATCTCATCCCGTAGCATCTAACTGGTTGAACAGCCCCAGTCACAGACATGCTGGGGCAGATACCGTGCAGCAAGCAGCCTATAGAAACCGAGCCTTAAAATTAGTTTATGTCACCCCCACAAAGTATTAGGTATCTCTTCGGGGCCTATTTTCCCTGAGGGGTTAGCAGAGCGAGCGACTCTGAGGTCTCCATCACTTTCAACACCTTGCTGCCCAGGTTACAGGCAGAGTACATCCACACAGGCTTCACTGGGCGCCTGGGAGTTTAGTTCTACCGCCTCCCTCAATATACCCCACAGACAGGCAAGCGTATTTAAGTTTGATAGACTTTTCAGTCAAGACCGTCATCATTCAAAAGCCAGGTAGACCTAGGGGTGTGTGTGTGTGTGTGTGTGTGTTCGCATGTGTGTTAGCATGTGTGTGCACGTGGGTGGTTGAGCGTGCATGCCCGCGCATGTATTTTCTTTCCAGGTCTTAGCATATATTAGTGTGGTTGCTTTTATTACTCTTAGCTATTGCTTGGAATCTGATTGCCAGCTTGGATTTATTAATTTATTATTTCGTTTATTAATTTAGTTATTTATTAATTTATTATAATTCCCTCCAGCTCCATCTATTTTAAACCAAGCTACCATACTCGAAATCATGTCCTTTATCCATCCATCTAGCCATCCATCCATATGCACATACACTTGAGACAGGGTCTCACTGTGTTGTCCTGGCCGGGCTGAAACTCATAGGTCCGTCTGCCTCTTTTTTTCAGTGCTGGGCTGCCAGGCTATACAAATACATCATATACAAATACACATACCTATAATATATATCTCCAATTTATGGGCATAAAAGACCCCACTGGCACCGATATTAAAACTGTTTTCATCAAAGCCACTGTTTCATCCGCCAATAGTAAAATAATCGACGCAGTTCTCTCGCTAGGAATTGAAAAGCCTTGCACCACACCTACTTTTACTGTACTCCCTAAACTTTCCCCTAAGTAACTGCAGCTCTGAGCGCCAGCCGGCTCAGTCCTTCGCTGGGTCGCTCTTGCCCTCTCATTCCATCGGATCTATGGTTCCCAGGACATAGCGGAGACTGCTGGCTGTAGACGCTGGAAAATGTAACTCGGAATTTCCTACAATCTCAGCTCCACTTTCTCCCGGGCGCCGGCCGGGGGCTGGAGCCTTGTTATTGTCACGTGGCCGCGGGTGCCCGGTGGGCCAATAGGCGCGCGCCCGCCTCCGCGCCCCGCCTCGCCGTTCCTCCGCGCCGGGACAGCGAGTCCCACCGCCCGCCGCAGGCGGAAAAGTTTCTCTGTGTGCGATCGGGCTCTCGGACTCCGCTCGGACTGCCTGTACCGTGGCTGCCGGTCCTCCGCTCCTGGCTCTCCCGCTGTGGACGGGCATGCGAGGCCTTCCGTGCCGGGACTGAGCGGCCAGGAGCACGAGGCGGCGATCGGTGTGTCCAGCCCGGTCTGGGAGTCGGTGCTTTTGGGGGTGCGCGAGACTGCAGAGCTCGGGGCCGAGCCGGAGGCGGCGGGGCGCGCGGCGATGAGTGCTCCCGGGCTCCGAGCGGCCGCGACGGCGCTGGGGCTGCTGCTGTGCGCGGGGCTGGGACGCACGGGCCCGGCAGGGAGCGGAGGCCACGGGGCGCCCGGGCAGCTCTCGGACGACGCTGTGCAGCGCCCGTGCCCAGCCGTCTGCCACTGCCTCGGGGACCTGTTGGACTGCAGCCGGAGGCGGCTGGTTCGCCTTCCCGACCCTCTCCCGGCCTGGGTCACACGGCTGTGAGTATCAACATCATTCGGGTGGGGTGGAGGGGACCGTCCCGCCAGAGGTGCGGGACGAGAAGAGTCCGCCGAGGCCTGGGGCTCACAGAGCACATTGCAGCACCCAGGCCGCTAGCAGAACCCCGTGGGGGGGACTCAGTCTCCCTCTGCATCCGCGCAGGTGGGTTCTTGGGTCGCCACCCCTGGGCCAGCAGAAGCGACGCCTGCGACTGGGAGCCACTGTTCGAGACACCGTACATTGTAGGCTTTCTTTTGAGTTTATGTAGGAAACTGGCCCAACTGTAGCTTCTCAGTGGTTAGGGTCCCTGCCTGTCCCTAGACAGACCCTGCAGGCGCGCCTTTCTCTTAGGACCCCCTTGCTCAAGCACGGACTTTTCTCCCTGCTGTGCTTAATTTCACATTAGCAGACCATCAGCCTCGCTCCCGGGCCACTTTGTAATGCGTCTTGGTTCCTGTGAGAAATTGGGTGCGAAGACTGATCGGGTAGATAAGCGAAGAAAGTAGGTTTTCAGAACCGAGATCTGGGGAAGTTTAGAGCCGGCGCTGAGTGCTGTTTGGCGGATTTTAGCTGGGAAGCCAGAAAATCCGAAGTCACTGCCAACTGTGTGGAAGAACACGGAAGAAAATATAATTTACTTGGAAATGCGAGTCCTTACAAATGTCAACTCTCTTTATTCTCTCCCAACCCCTAATTTTGTTAAAATTGGAGGGGGCGTTTAAGCCATAAGCAAAAAAGCAAAAGTTGTACTTAAAAAAAAAAAAAAAGTTGTCCCGTTTAAGAGAAATCAGATCACGTCATACTTAAAAATTCTGAAATTTAGGCCTCTCAGACCTTCTCACCTCTTAAAACAATCGTAGGTCTTGACAATAGTGGCCAGGCGGCTTAAGCAATCCTGTTTTTGATCCAGTGTCCCAACCTAAATTCTTTCATCAGTTGTAAACTGTTGACCATCAAACAACACGCTCTCTTAAAAGGGAATTTAATAAGGAAATAGAATTAACGAGAATTGGATTGATATTTAATGGCTGATTATGGAATGTCTGATGTAGCAGCTTTTATTACTCGTGGCAGGGGAGATAAAGACTTGAGCCTGAAGCAGGAAGACTTTCAATTAGTTGTGGCTAATTCCTTTCAATTGCCTCTTGCCGGGTGGGGGGTCACGCTGCTGAGTTCCTGAAAGCCAAATGGCTCTACTGACAACACATGGAACTGTGCATGGAATGCCGGGAGGTGGGCACCTCTGGATGATACAGGAGTGGAGGGGAAAACTTGTCTCCCTGGAGTGCCTTTAAAAATGCTTACTAAGTCTAACTTTACCTAGTAGTTTCTCAATGACAGGTGTCCCACTGGATGTAGACGGATTTCAGAAAACTGTATGGACCTTGATTGGAAGTTGAGTTGAATCAAAAGGGGGGGGGCATTTGATACCTATTTAAGCGTTCTGAAAGGGAGCTGACCTAATTAGGATTTTGTTTTGCAGATAATTTGGTGGCACACTAAAAACAAATTACAGTTTATTTGGTTAGCACAGTCTTTAATTACATTTCCGCCAGTAGTAAATTGTCTCAATACACGTCTGCATTCCTTAAACGTATGTGAAAATACATCCCACTTGTATAAATAAGCACTGGGTCTCTTGTCAGGAGCCCCGCTGTGATCACTCCTCAAACAGCCTTTCCATCCTTGTACTTCTGTGACTTCTGACCGTCTTTGGGGGCATCACCAAGCCATGTGGTCTCAGGTTCTTTATTGCCAATGTTTCCTTTGTTTACTCTCAAAGGTCTGTTCCTCACCTCAGAGAAGAGCAAAAGGCAACATGCAGTCCTTCTCCCCTGTTATTTTGTGTATTGCCTAAGGAGGCGTGAGTTGCTCCTTAGTTAAACCTTACATAATTACAAAAGCTCTTAAGTAGATGGCTTCCAAGACCAGGGAGTGAATAGAAAATGTGTATTGTTCCCCACAGCCCTCCTTCCTTGGGCTTTTAAAATAGCAAACGTTTGTCTTTGGAATAGTTTATGAGAAAGTTCAGAATATGCCGTGTGTCTTTTGTTCCCTTTGTTGAAGCTACAAGTTAGGAATGCCTGTGCTTCGTGTGTGTGTGTGTGTGTGTGTGTGTGTGTGTGTGTATGCATGCACGTGTTCCCCACCTTATTCAGTTGTCCTTTATTGCTGTAGGAGAGCCTTGTGTGGAAAACTGAGTAGTTGGAGCTAAACAATAATAACACTGTACTCGCTTCTGCTTTCAGAAGGAACCTGCAGTTCTTTAATGAAAGTCGCTGTTAAAAAAGTTACTGCCGGAGCCTCAGTCAAAGAGCTTTGTGCCTCTCTGGGGCTCTGAAGCCAAAGAGGGGGGCTTGTTAAAATAACGTTATTTCGCCAAAGGGGGTGAATTGCTTGATTGCCAACTGGAACCTCAAGTGTTATTAAATTTTAGCTGGATTTTCAGGTGATTTATCTTATCACGCAGAAATGTTGGAGTTCTTAATAGGGCTGAGGAGAAAGTCCGAAAGGTAGTTTGTACTCGTGTGTGACTTCTCTGGTGCTGCCTGTTATGAATCTTCTGGAACAGGGTTCTGTTGGGGGTGGGGAGGGAGCAGTAGTCCTTATGTTTTCCACAGCTGTTTCTCTATATTTTCCAGACTAAAGCTCGAGCGTAACAGGCTGATTTACGAGTCGCTTTGGATCAGGGTTTTAAAACAGCTACGGCCTGCCTTTTTGTTTTTTTTCGGCTTTCCATATTTCTGCTGAGTTAGCAGCATGGCAGGCCCCTGTGGGATTGATTAAGAAGCTACGCTGTATTTGTGTGTTCAAATTTGAATTGGAAGTCAGATTTCCAAATGCTTAGAAAGAAGAGAATGATAGCTAGAACCAAATGTTGTAAAACTAATAATTTTCACATACGCTCACTGACTTGATAAAACGGAGATTGACTTTACAATATACATGGGCGGGGGGTTGATGTTTCTAGGCCTGTGCCCCGTGGCTTTCCTTTCTGGGTAAATTAGTTAGCACCTCTTTTCTGTTCCTATCTATTGACCTCATCACAGCAAGTCTTTAAAAAAAAAAAGTTTCCTGTGGAAGATGTTCTTTCACCGAACTACACATAACACACGTAATGATGAATCTGCCCTCCCTAGGGACTAGTTTCTTTCTTGGGTTCAAGGAAACACTGGAAACATTGTATCCCCACATCTCTCTTTAGTGCTCCAGCCATAAAAACAATATAGGGAAGACGAAGGGAAACACTGTGTCCTCTAAAAGGAAGGTAATTATTTCTGAAACATATATTACTTGAAAATCTAAATTTAGGTAAATTAAAAGTTTCATGGCTTTAAGCCTGTAGCAGTAAAAGTCACTTAAGAAGCCTTTTTTTTTTCTCCCACATATGTGGTTTTAATAGTACACAGAGCTCAGGATGGAAGCATTTGCAATAACTGAAGTATGTAAAGCTGCCAGCTCCTGTTGGAGGACATGCAACCAGTGTCCTCAGAATGTGCACTGGGCTGAAGGCCTGCTCCTAGTTCAAAGGTCTTTTGTTTCAGAAAATCTCATCCCCTTACTGGTGGACAACTTTGAGCACCCAAATCTCATTGCTCCTTGTCTCTCCCTGTGAAATAATTCTTCCAGGGAGCAGAGAACAGTTCTTAGCTTTCCTTTTTCTTTTAATTTAAAAGAAATTTAACTGTATTAAATGTAAATACCAGATTTGTCCCCCTTTGCTTTCCAACACAGGAAACAATGCTGGGTGGGGGCGGGCTCAGCATTCTTGAGCTAAGTGGCTCCAAATGACTGTCTGTGGAGCGAGGCTGAAGGCCCAGGTGGAGGGCTCTTTTCTTGGTTGTGTTTTAAAGCTTGTGGGCAATCTGTGTCCATCTGGGGTGCTAAAGCACACAGGTTTTGTTTGACTGCTAACGTGAGTTGTTGGGCTCACGGCTTCCTTGATGAACTCCAGATGGACTTGGGCTGGACTGTGAGGGAAAGTGTCTGGCTCCAGCCAGCGTGGTGAGCGTGCACAGCAGTGGTTGTAATTGCAGGATTTTTATAGTTTAAAACTGAGCCAGATTCCCCCACCCCCCTTCATGTTATAACTCCACCAGAACAAATCTACTCATGTCTGTTACTGTCTGGTAGGTCTTTAGGCAAACAAAGCTTAAATAAAATCTTTGCAAGTTCTTTTTTATTTTGTTTTAAGGTGAAATACAGAAATCAGGGCTTACTCCCAAAGCTAAAAGCTTGGAGAATGACAATATCCTTAATTTTGAGTTGTCAACTAAGCAAAAAGTAACATTATTTCTCTGAGTGTGTGATTTCTATTTTTCTGTTGTTTGTGGGAGCGCATTCTGATGTACGTACATTATATGGCTCATGCTTGTCAGCAACTAACTTTAATTGTATAACATTTTGGTTATTTTAAAAAAAAATCTTCGTTTTAAACACTGAAGAATTAACTTAAGATCAGCTTGCCTCTTCCAGAGAGGAGCTTCCAGCCACACTGTGCTTGAGCCTGTTTTTGAGTGGCTATTCTGCCATTTCATCTCCATTATACTCGTTTGGCAGCGCCATGTAGACAGGGTGCTGAAACATTTGTTAGATTTTGGTCCTTGTTTCAGATCTTGGTGCTGAGTAGACTTTCCAGCCCAGAACACTATATAGACAGGAGTTTGTAACTTTTAGTGCTTTGTTGCCTGTGGGAATTGTTACTAAGTTTGACTGAGCCTTTGGGTCAGAAGCACGTTTATTTTAGTGTCTAAAATATGTTCACAGGATACTTGTAGCATTGGCCAGGCTTTATTAGACGGTTAGTGTGGTTTAAATAGTGCGCTGCATTGCTGGATGTTGAAATTCAAGGAGTTTTTGAAAGAGAGGATTCAGGCTGTGGTATATCCTTTTGAGCATATACTTTCAGGAGTGTACACACACACACACACACACACACACAGACCACTAGAAATCTAGCCCTTTAACACATTGAAACAAGTAAATACTCATGGATGTCAACCTCTGATCTCTTTGACTGCATTAAGGACTTTGGTACTTAATTTTGTGATAATAAAAGTGTTTTTTCAGAGTCCTTGTTTCAGTAACCTGCCTAATTAGCCAGTTTTCATAGTCTATGATGTCACTGTATCAGGTTGGGGGGGGGGGAGAGTTGAGACGATGAAGCAAAGCACAGTTCACAAAAGATCTGTTCACCAAGTGCCAGAAAACATCTCTTAAAATGCTTGTGGGCTTCAAGGATTTGAATCTGCCAGCCTCTTAAACTAATTCTGTCTTCAGAGTTTGTCGTTTTGACTTTGGCATTTGGTTGCCATTTAATTTGTGGACAGAATGGTCCAATTATTTCTCTGCTTGTCACTGGTGTTGAGAGAAAGAATTCAAAGCCCGCACTCTGCCTAGTGTGTCATTAAATGATATTAGTGACATTTAAGAAACTACTTGTAATATGACTTTTGTTTTCTTACAGGGACCTGAGTCACAACAAATTATCTTTTATCCAGACGAGTTCCTTGAGCCACCTTCAAAGCCTTCAAGAAGTGTGAGTCCCACTTGTCTCCCTTTTGAGGGTTGCACAAAGTATTTACCCCTCGGACCATTTCATGGGACGAACCTTTGGGTGATAAGAGCATCCTTCAAACTTTTAACTTCACTGATGTCTTTAAATATCGTAAATTGTTTCCACGTCTTTGGATTTCAGATGATCTAATTGGCTTTTTCTGTTCGTTTGGTGTTTCCAGGAAGCTGAACAACAATGAATTAGAGACCATTCCGAACCTGGGACCAATCTCTGCAAATATTAGACAGCTATCTTTGTAAGTGAATCCAGCATAGTTCCCATGTATATTGAGAGGAGCAGTGGATGAGATCTAGATCAGTGGTTCTCAACCTGTGGGTCGTGACCCCTTTGTGTGTGGGAGGGATGCCACATATCAGATATCCTGCATATCAGATATTTACACTATGATTCATAACAGTAGCAAATTGCAGTTATGAAGTACCAATGAAGTAATTTTATGTTGGGGGAGGGGTCACCACAACAAGAGGAGCTCTAAGGTTGCAGCATTAGAGGGGTTTAGAACCACTGATCTGTATGGAATAGCATGCAGTTCTTACAAGCAAACTTTGAATACCCTTCCCAAGGCCTAACAAAGAAGGTCTCTATAGATTAACTTATTTTCACTTCTAAATTTTGAATATTTATTTATTTATTTATTTATTTTATGTTTATTTATGATCTTGGGAATGGAACCCAGAGAGGAACTTGCGAGGCCATCCATCAAACTGCAACTCTCTCAAACATACTTTACACATTGTACTTGCTAACTTGACTTCCAGGATTCAAAAAAGCTACTTTGAGCTTCGATTATCTTCTGTAGACTAGAACTTAAAATTCTGGCATTGCGTATCGGTTGGCATAGGAACTGTGCATTACGGTAATGTTTGTAGAGAATGACCACACTCACTGTGTGAGGCTAATGGGAGTTGATTATATGCCATTGGGGCATCGTTATTTTTAGCTATGTGTGTGTATGTGGATTTACACAAATGTGAGTGCAAGTGACCTCAGATTCCAACAGAAGGCACTAGATGCCCTGGGTCTGTTATCAGCTGCTGGATGTAAGTGCTGGGAATTGAGCCACCTCCCACCACCTCTTGACCATGGCTCCTGGTGTGGGAATCAGGGTTAGAAACCCCAACTGAAAACATGGGCCTATGTCGTTAAATCAGTAAGTGAAGTCAAAGTGTTGGTTTGCAAAGTTTTCAGATAAAATTAAAATTGTGTCAAATTTTCTGCATTTTCAGTGCAGATAACATTTACGTTTGTGGACTTGGCCGGTTTTGGGAACGTCTTGTCTTTGCAGCATTTAGAAGACGCATTTTGTATGTTCTAGGTCTAACTTCTAAAATCAAGCCATTTCCCATTTTGATCTTGAGTAATTAAAATTTTTGCTTGTCTCCAAAGTTAAAACATATTCTTTACATGGTTTGATAAAAACCACCATTCTTTTTCTTTCTTCCTTTTTTTTATTTGTAAAGGCGTTGGGAGGGTTGAAGTTATACAGTAAACTTCAGGCGAGCTGGCCAATCAATTAAAGTGATCACTCTCCAATTGCTTCCATCTGGTGATTTATAGTGGTTTGTTTTTACTGAAGGCCCAGGTCAGCCAAGTCACTCTGCAGCCGCCCTGTCTGCTTTCTTCTGTTTGAATAAGAACTAAGTGGCATTTGATACTGATGTGGTTTCTCCACAGATCAGAACCAGAGACGAATGAAAGAAAAGGCACTTGGTATTTGTCAAATAAACACCAAATTTAAAAAAAAGTTTTCATATTAGTATTAATACCTATTTTTTTCATGTTTTAATGGCGTCTGAGTGGAAGGGATCTTGCAGCATCGGAGTTATTCTTGACTGACCAAGGGGGCCCTTCAGAATCCCTCTATCCTGTTGTCTTTGTCTTGTGTCTTGGCAGATTCTCTCAGCATGCTTAAGAGCCTGGTTCAGTGGTGGCTGAGGGTCGGCAGTGTGGGTTTTTTTTTTCTTTTGCTCTGGGTAGGGTGGAGTAACAGCCTGTAGTTTAGCATGGCTTAGGGTCCAGAGCCAAAGAGCATGTGAGGAAGTTATGAAATTCCCTTGCAACTAAGTAGCGACCTGAATACCATCACCTCTAGCTAGAAAGCTAGAGGCCAGAATGACGCCCGAAAGTTACGGATCTTCCACATGCTGTTTCTGTGTGTGTGTTTGGCGTTAGTGAGGCTGTGTGTCAAATTAGCCTCAATAATCTCACTTCCTTTCCCTCTTGTTGGTCACAGTACATCTGGGCAGCCCAAGTTTTGTACTCACATAATGAGAGGCCCAATTATTGCTTAGCTTAGGAAGTCCCTGTGGGTGGTGATTTATGTGAGGAGCCTGCTCTTACAATATGGAGACTGAAAACGGGTTTTTATGCCCATGAAACGTCTTGAAAATTTTACCTCTCTGGTGGTTTCCTTCTACAAAGGTTTTAGTTATCTCCCAAGGGCTCTTCTGAATATTGCAATATATGGTTATTTCTAAAGCGTTGATATCCTCTATATTACATTGTATAGATAGAACATTTTCCTGTATAGAGAAGTCCTTGAAAGTAATCTCGGCTGATTATCAGTACTGTTAAATACATTTCTGAAATTGCAAGGGGAAAAAAAAGCATCAAATCACATGATGTGACTCAGTTTCAGTACTTGCCATAGCTCTATTTTTAAACTGCAGTTTTCAAAGTAGTTTGACCTTTGTTACTCCCTACCCCCCTTTATTTTTTCCTACATTTTTTTTGGAAGAAAACATTTTTCTAGGCTGTTTATATGATATAAAAAGAAAAATTAGATGGAGTCTTAAGCTAAGCCACAGCTAAGGATCTCACAATCTTTATATAAAATCATATTTGTGATATATATATGTATGTGTGTGTGTGTATATGTATGTGTATTCTGTGTATATCATACATCTTAAGAACATAGATTTAATACTTAATACTGTGATTCTCGGTGCCTTGGGACCCTCCCAGTTGGGGTAGCTGGCTTCAGAGATGACTAACTGGTAAAGTATTTGTCTGTAGTTGGAGAAAGCAAGAGCTAATGCTGGGTCTAGTGGCCTCCCATGTGCAAAGACAAACTCGGGCTCTTCCAAAGCCTGGTAAAATATGAGTAACGGAGATGCTGGCTGGAGAGTCCCTGAACATCCTCTTGACAAAGCTTATCTCCGCCATGATAACAGATCTTTTAGAATGCAAAAGACCTAATAGACTGCTCAAATCCCAGTGATGTGCTGGGGCAAGTGTGCATCGTGTGTGTGTGTGTGTGTGTGTGTGTGTGTGTGTGTGTGTGGTTTATTCATTGATTTCTCTGTCTCCCTCAAATCATTGTGTAGCTATGGCAGGATAGGGTGTTTATTTGGTTTGTTTGGTTTTTTAGAAACGTAACAATCCTCGGCTTGAGTACATCCAAAGTAAAAGGGTTGACCGCATGCTTATATCATATTGTATAGATTTATGTGGTATTGCGTGACTCATCCATGTTCTTTTTTTTTTTTTTTAATTTTTTTTTTATTTTATTTATTATATGTAAGTACACTGTAGCTGTCTTCAGACACCCCACAAGAAGGCATCAGATATCATTACAGATGGTTGTTAGCCACCATGTGGTTGCTGGGATTTGAACTCATTACCTCTGGAAGAGCAGTCAGTGCTCTTAACCACTGAGCCATCTCACCAGCCCCGACTCATCCATGTTCTAAGCCTTTCTGAACCCTGTAACATGAGTGAGGGAGATTTGATTTGTGAAACATGGTGGTAAGACAGGGCTGCTCACATCTTGATGCCGATGGCCTATGTAGTATTGCCTGACATTTGCCGCGTGTCCTAGAGATGAAAACTGTTAAGCTACTGTCAGAGGTACCCCTGGTGTTAAAATGGACATTCTCTGACCCCATTCCTAGAGAATTCCAATTGGTGAGTTGGGGCAGGGCTAGGAATGTCTGTCATAACACATCTGTCCTCTGGATTCTGATCAGTTCTGACATAAATATTTCTGAAGTAAGAGTCAGGTCAGTGTCACAATCAAGAGGACGTTGTCATCTTTTTACAAGTTCTTATGTGCAGGTGTGCATGTGTGTGTGTGTGTGTGTGTGCTTGTGGAAGCCATAGGGCAAAGTTGGGCGTCTCCCTCACCCTGAACCTTATCATCAACATCATCATCATCTGAGATGGGGTATCAGTGAGCCTAGAGCTCGATAATTTAGCTGTCTAACTTGGCTGGATATCAAGTTCAGGATCTTCCTGTCCAGCCCTCTCCTGACTGAGCCATCCCCTTGCAATGTGTTTATAGGTGCCGGTTAACTTTCCTGGTACCACTTTACAACATGGACTTCAGTAAAGAGCCATGGAAGACATTTTAACAGTAAGATGATTAAATGCAATGCGTGAAAACATCAGTCCAGTTTCGGTGTGCAGGGTGACTTGGAGGTGGCAGACAACTGTCCCTTCAGCAGAACAGAGGTGTGGTGACTGCCTGGTCTGTGGGAGGTCATGTCACCATAACAGTTAAAAGCATAGCTCGAAATGCTGGCCGGCGTTGTGCAAGGGCCTGCACATCAAATGGCCTGGGATTCATTGCTGGCCCTGCCCACAGTGGGTCTTCGTGTGTGTGTGTGTGTGTGTGTGTGTGTGTGTGTGTGTGTGTGTATGTGTATTCTCTCTTCTTTAAAATGTGAATGAGAGCAGTACTGGTCTCCCAGAGTCATTGTGAGGATTTGTGGAGAGAAGGCCGGGAAAGACATCTGGTAGACCCCAGGTGATGGGTGGTGGGAAGGGAGATGATTCATTGACCTAGAATGCAGTGGATATATGTTATCTGCCAGGCTCTCTTTCAAGTGCAGAGGCCAAAATCTGTCTCTTGTGGTGGAACTTCATTCCAGCGAGAAGGGAGAGAAAAACAGGATAGGTAAGCCAGCTTCAAAGGAGAAGATGGCTTTGGCTTCTGATATAGGTGTGATTAGTGAGTCCTGGCAGCTGACCTTTGATGTGGTCAGGAAAGGCCAATATTGACAGAGACCTACTATGTGTCAGGTTACAGTTCCCTAAGGTCAGAGGTCAGCAATGAACAGACAGAAATCTTTACCACTTTAGCAGGAATGTCTCACCTTCTCAGGGGAACAGGATACAGATGAGAATGAGTTGTTCACAGAGGGGGGTAGATCCAGGAGAGAAAAATAAAGCAGGAGAGGGTCTGAGAAATGGGTGTGGCCAAAGAAGATTGACAGCTTAAAGGAGAGGCCGCTG